GTAGAAAAGGGAAGGAGAGGAGGAATGAGGAACGTAGAAAGAGATAGAAGAAGGAAGAGAAGGGAAGAGGAAAGGTGGTGATAAAATAAAGGAAATGGTAAAAGAGCAGTCCCGAACAATTAACAAATGAAAGTAAAAGGATAAGATGAATGATGAGTGATGGATAAGAGACTGTACATTCAAATGTCTTTATGAAAAACAAAAATAAAAGGCTTAAAAAAGAAAAAGACGCAGCGGGCTGCCCCCTGTGCATGCTTTCTCACTGAAGAGAGCAGTCCAGGTCAGGGGGTTCCAGGAAGGAATGGGCTGTTGGAGAGGAAGGTTCCTCCTTGTCCCTTTTCATAGCCATTGCCTCCCAAGTTGACCAAAACCAGAAGCCCCGAGCAACCAAAGCCAAGTTCTTGCAGGAGGCATAAATGAAGGTAATGGCCCAAGTCAAGGAAGGGACACCAAGCCTCCTGATTGACCTTCCTATCCCTGACTCTTGAGTCCTTAATGTTCTCGAGAAGGTGCTCCATGGAGGAGATCACCATGTACCTAGCAGCTTGTTCCCTTGATCAATGAAGAATGGATTCTAAGATCCAAGATCTCTTTCTCGGTGTTTTGAGCCATGCTTTCGGACCAGGCTGGGGTGTCCGAAGCTTCTAGGACAGCTGTGACTTTGTACCCCATTGAGGTGCACCAAGAAGTCTCCAGCACCAGCATATTCTTTTCCTGACCTCCTCGAACTGCAGCAGCCCCACAACTCAGGCCTGGCTGATCTAGTCCTCAGGAGACCTCCCCACTCCCATGTGGCACTCCTGCATTCCTTTCCCGAGACTCCCTCTATTTCTCACTCAGGGACCCAGGTGCAGGGGTGAAATACAGCAGGTACTGACAGGTTCTGGAGAACCGGTAGCGGAAATTTTGAGTAGTTCGGAGAACCGGCAAATACCATCTCTGGCTGGCCCCAGAGTGGGGTGGAATGGAGATTTTGCAGTATCCTTCCCCCAGGAGTGGGGAGGGAAGGGGGATTTTGCAGTATCCTTCCCCTGGAGTGGGGAGGGAAGGGGGATTTTGCAGTATCCTTTCCCCTGGAGTGGGGTGGGAATGGGGATTATGCAGTATCCTTCCCCTGGAGTGGGGAGGGAATGGAGATTTTGCAGTATCCTTCCCCCAGGAGTGGGGAGGGAATGGAGATTTTGCAGTACCCTTCCCCTGCCACGCCCACCAAGCCACACCCACAGAACCAGTAGTAAAAAAATTTGAATTTCACCACTGCCTAGGTGTTTGGAGTTACGATGTCAGCTGGGACTACAATGGGTCATGCTCTACAACCATATCGCTTAGTGACAAAACTCTGGTCTCAATTATAGCCCTAAGTCAAGGATGACCTGTGCAGTGCAATGGAGCTTGTGAAATCTTGACATTCTTGGAATTCGGCCTGAGGTAATGCCTAGGCCTGCCTTTTCTTTTTTCTTTTTTCTTTTTCTTGTTTCCAACCTTGTGCATACATATCTACAGCTCAGCTTGTATCTATGGAGATTCTCAGTCATCCAGGTCATGGTTGTCCGAAAGGAAAGGAAACGAAAGGAAAGAAGGAGGAAGAGGGAAAGGAAAGGAGGAGGAAGAGGAAAGGAAAGGAAGATAGAAGAAGGACAGAAAGGGAAGGGAAGGAGGAAGAGGGAAAGGAAAGGAGGAAGAAGAGAGGAAAGGAAAGGAAAGGAGGAAGAGGGAAAGGAAAGGAGGAGAGGAGAGGAGAGGAGAGGAAATGAAGATATAAGAAGGACAGAAAGGGAAAGAAAAGGAAACGAAAGGAAAGAAGGAGGAAGAGGGAAAGGAAAGGAGAAAGAGGAAAGGAAAGGAAAGGAGGAAGAGGGAAAGGAAAGGAGGAGGAGGAAAGGAAAGGAAAGGAGGAAGAGGGAAAGGAAAGGAGGAGGAGGGAGAGGAGAGGAGAGGAATGAAGATAGAAGAAGGACAGAAAGGGAAAGAGAAGGAAAGGAAAGGAAAGGAGGAAGAGGGAAAGGAAAGGAGGAAGAGGAGAGGAAAGGAAAGGAAAGGAGGAAGAGGAAAGGAAAGGAAAGGAGGAAGAGGGAAAGGAAAGGAGGAGGAGGGAGAGGAGAGGAAATAGATAGAAGAAGGACAGAAAGGGAAAGAGAAGGAAAGGAAAGGAAAGAAAAGGAAGGAAGGAAAGAGAGAGAGAAAGACAGAAAGGGAAGAAAGAAAGAAAGAAAAAGAAAGAAAGAAAAGAGAGTCCAGTTGCCTCTTGAACTGCAGGGGAGTCACCTTGATTGGATGTCCCTGCACTGACCTTCCGTATCTTTTCTCCAGCAACACAGAGGCAGCCTCACACTTAGACTCTGCCCCACTTCCGTCACTATTCCTGACCAAGCCAAAAGCTGTTTTCGCCTAGCGCTCAACCTGAAAGCGCCTGATCCCGTCTGATCGTGGAAGCTAAGCAGGGTCAGGCCTGGATAGTACTTGGATGGGAGACCGCCTGGGACTACCAGGTGCTGTAGGCTTAATTTTTATTTTTTGTCCTTCAAAGGTGGCTCAGTGGTTAAGATGCTGAGCTTGTCGATCAGAAAGGTCACCAGTTCGAATGCCTAGTATAAATCTGGGTGAGTTGGACTAGATGACTTCTAAAGTCCCTTCCAACTCTGTTGACTGAATTATTCTATTGTCTTATTTTGCACAATAGGCACACATAAAAACTAAGCATGTTAGTGTATGCAGCGGTTATTAATTCCCTCTCCTCCCCAATAACTGGTGTTATGCAAACAATTGATTTCTTTTTTGGAGGGTGGAAAAGAAGAGCTGCCTTTCAATCATTCCTTCCAATTCTGTGGTTGGCATCCCAGGATGGTTTTTGTTTTGTTTTTTTTAAAAAAAGGTGACCAGAGGACCAGCAATTTCAATTCCAGTCTGATCCAAAAGGGGGCAGCACCATCTACTAACACGCCCGCCTAGGCCAGGATCTCAACACTCAACTGTTGCAGAATGGCACCCTCTGGTGGTGATCTCATGGGTACTGCCTTTGAAGTAAGGCATGGGGAGCGGGAATCCTTGATCCAGCTCAAAAGTCAAATAGATTTGCATTTTCAAATTGAACATTATCTGTATGTGCCGAGGCCCTCAAAGCTCCGAACCATGTCTTAAACTTCCTCAAATTATTTCAAGATACCTCCCGTGCTGTGTCAAATTAATTTGGCAATTGGGTTGACAGGCTGAATTGCCTTGAAATTGGTCCTTCAAATCAAATATTTGCATACCCTTAAGAAATGGATGGTGGGATCGAAAACGATGAAATGGGAGGGGTTTCCCCGCCCCCCCTGGCAATACCACACTAGTTACACAAACAAAAGTTATGCATTGTGCATAATGAATCTTTCTCCCTTCAGTTTTCAAAACGGGGAACAATATCTTCACTCCCTCCCCACTCCAAAATCATTTTATTAAAACACCGGAAGGAAGTCGACGGACACAAAATGCAAGGGCATTTAAAGGGTTACTGGGGAAAATAAATACGGCTCTGCTGTTTTTCTGCTTAGAAAAAAAAAATTGTAAGTTAGTTCCATGTTTACATTTTAAAGCCTTTAGTTTCATAGGCACGGAGGCGCAGCGGTTAGAAAGCAGTATTGCAGGCTTATTCTGCCCACTGCCAGCAGTTCGATCCTGACTGGCTAAGGTTGACTCAGCCTTCCAATACACTTGGAGGCTGAGGCTGGTGCCTTCGGCTTCAGGCCTGTGCGAGCAAAGCGTGATCGGAGCTGTCGTCTCTCTATAAATACTGGTGGGGATCTGTGGGGTGTTGGCTTTGTTGCTGTGAGCGGGTTGGTTGCCTGTGTTGTTACATCTTGATTAGTTGATGGAGTTGATGTTTGCACAGAGAGACAGAGAGACAGACAGAGACAGATATGATTGAGATAATAGATAAATAGATAATGATTGATAGATGGATGCTATGGTAGTGCATTGGTTAGAATGGCATATTGCAAGGTAACTCTGCCCACTGCCAGCAGTTTGATCCTGACTGGCTGAAGGTTGACTCAGCCTTCCAATACACTTAGAGAGGCTGTAAAGTCTTAAGTACTATTAGTGCTGATAGATAGAGATAGGGGAGATAGATAGGGGAGATAAATGATTGCTAGATGGATGGTCCATTGGTTAGGATGATGCATTGGTTGAATGGGAGTATTGCAAGATAACTCTGCCCACTGCCAGGAGTTCGATCCTGAACGATTGACGGTGGCTCAGCCTTCCATCTTTCCAGGATCGGTAAAATGAGGACCCAGTTTGTTGGGGGCAATAGACTGACTCTATATATGCTGCTTAGACTGCTGCAAAGAATTTATGAAATGGTGTATAACTCTTAAGCGCTATTGTTTTTGCATGATCAAGGGGGGAAAAAAACAACTTAATCTGAGAGGAGATCAAACCTGTAAAATCTTTAAAATAATTGATCTGTGATTTCCGTACGACCTGACCCCATTTGCCTTGGCCAAAAGACACGAACGACAGCAGTTCTCACCCCACGGAATTCTACAAAGCGTTTGCTAAATCCCAATATTAACACAAAAGCCCACAAGCTTTTCTTTTCTTTGCTTAAAGGTAAAGGTAAAGGTTCCCCTTGCACATATGTGCTAGTCGTTCCCGACTCTAGGGGGCGGTGCTCATCTCCGTTTCAAAGCCGGAGAGCCAGCGCTGTCCGAAGACGTCTCCGTGGTCATGTGGCCGGCATGACTCAATGCCAAAGGCGCATGGAACGCTGTCGCCTTCCCACCAAAGGTGGTCCCTATTTTTCTACTTGCATTTTTTTTAATGTGCTTTCGAACTGCTAGGTAGGCAGAAGCTGGGACAAGTCACGGGAGCTCACCCTGTTACGCGGCACTGGGGATTCGAACCGCTGAGCTGCCGACCGTTCGATCGACAAGCTCAGCGTCTCAGCCGCCGAGCCACCGCGTCCCTTTCTTTGCTTGCTGTGCTCAATTCCCCCACACCCTCAAAAAAAAGAGACAAAATCCATGTTAGATTTTTTTTTTTTAAAAAAAGGAAACAAAATCATACATACAGACAATACCCTGCCGGCCTATACTGTACCTAGGCACAATTTTCCCACAAGGCAGAATGAATGACACGGGGGACTGGCTAAAATCAATGGTCTCCTTTCCTCCCCAGATCTTTTGGGCTGCAGCCCCCCGAATCCCCAGCCCTTGGCCCTTATTTCGAACCAGGAGGACCGGAATCTTATCTCGGTCTTTCGAAAGGAAGATGGGCACGGCTGGGTCAAATGGCACCGGCTTTATCAATCTCAGGCTGGGGATTTGGACACTTGTAGCTCAAGACACTCCAAGAACAAGCGGCTCAAGGAAAGATATATGTCATTTTCGCAGACCACGGTTATCTTCTTTAAAAGGGGAGACAGTTCCCCAAGTTCTGGGAGGAATAGTCATTTTCATTTTCCAGGCTGCCCTGGCTTAACAAAGATGCATGATTACAACAGTTAATTTGGGAGCGGTTTTGTGTGGAAAAGGCCCAGACTTCTTGTCGGTTGGAAATTCTCCGATTATACTGACGTTTCCGGCGGCACAAACGAAGAGAGTTTCAAATGCCTCTTCTCTCTTGATAGCAGGCTGTGGAGCTGGCAGCAGAGTCAGACAGTGAGGAAGCTGGGGAGGACAATGGGCCAGTCCTGGAGTCTGGGGAAGGCCCAGATGAGAGCTCTGCGTCGGAGGCAGAGATGGGGCCAGGGCCATCTGGAAACGATGCGCAGACTCCGGAGCCCCCGGACAGTAGAGAGGCAGAGGAACAGGAGGAGCCTGATCCTAGTGCGTGCATGTGAAGAGCTGCCAGAAGGCAAGAGCAGCTAAAGCAAAAAGGACGACTCGGGAGTAAGGCCAGGAGATGACTGCCCCCCCCCCAGAAGGCTTAAAAGAGCAACAACGGCTCTTGGGATCTTTGTAGGAAAGCAACGTTGCTAAATCTGTTTCCAGTCGCCGTCTTGTTTCTCAACTTTTGCCAAGAAAAGCCTTTGGCAGGGTGCCAAAGTAGACAAAGGTTGGTGATAAGGCCGAAGGACTGTTTACGAAGGATTTGTTTTGGAATTAATTTGGATTAAGATGAGCATGAAGTAATTCTCAGCTGTTCTAATAAAATATGTTTAGGACTGATTGTGTCTGGTAATAACTACTTGGGTCTAGGTCACAACAGGCAAAGCTGGCCGATGCTTCTTCGGTCAGCTAAAAAGGGGTTTCTGGGAGCAGAGCCCAAGCCAAGGGAAGGGGCAAAATATCCAAAACAGTGAAATGGAAGGAATTGCTTCTCCTATGGGAGACGAAGATGGGGGGGGATGAGAAGTGGGCATTTGCTTTTGAAAACATCACTGTTCAGGGGTGGGGGTTGCTGCCAAACCAGGCCCCTCTGCTGTTGTGGCCCACCGGCAGAATCGGACAGTGAGGAGGTTGGGGAGGAACTTGGGCCAGTCCTGGAGCCTGGGGAAGGCTGTGATGAGGGCTCTGCATCGGAAGCAGAGAGAGAGACAGACAGCAGTGAGGCAGAGGAACAGCTCGAGCCCATTCCCAGCGTGTGCATGCGGAGAGCTGCCAGAAGACAAGAACAACTCAGAGAGCAGGGTCGACTCGGGAGTAAAGCCACACCTTGGAGGTGATTGTCTCCTCCCACAGGAAATAAGAGAGGAGCGAAGGGGGAGTGGGCTTTTGCAGGATAGAATTCATTCGTTCCGTGACTCTGTGCCAAGTTTGGCCTTGTGCTGCAGTTGGAAACAGGTTACGTGGCAGCTTGCCAAACGAGATAAGGTCTGTGTTGATAAATATTCCTTTGAAAAACTGTTTGGACAGGCCTTGCTGACTGTGAATGAACGTAATTCACAGTCGTGTAAATAAAAGACATTTTGCGGGGATCAATTCTTGCCTCCTGCTTGTTAAGGGAGCCTAGGTCAGAACATCTGCTGAATTACCGGGGGGTGGGTGGGGGTGGCGGGGGGGTGTATCAGAAAAAGAGCCTTTTGGGGAGGGGAAATATTCGTTAGCTATAAATACAGAGCCATGAATCGGGGCAGTTAAAAAGGAAACGCCGACTGGGTTAATGCTCAGTTCTGGAGGAAGGAGCCACCTCCAAGCAACACAGCCTGCAAACAAGGCCTGAGTAGACGTTTTGGAGTCTTGCCAGGGGGCCCGAACGCCAAGTCCTTTACGTTCAGCAAGAGTGCCCAGACTTGTAGACGGGAGGGCCGAGCCATCGCCGGAGAAAATTTGCTGCTACGGTGGTGCCGCTTCGAGACGAATCAAGGGAAGAGGCCAAGCTGTCCGGTGGCATTTTTACACGGTACTCAGTGCCTGGGGAAGGGAGGGGAAAGAAGGGGGTGGAGAGGAGGAGAAAAACACAGCGGTTACAGGTGGGTAAAGCATGGGAAACATTCTGCCCTGAATGAATAAAATAATTGTGTTAGGTGCTTATTCAACAATTGCTTCTGGGCAATTGCAGCAAAAAGGGATAAACCAGGCCCCTCCCACTTTTCCCAGGCTTTTGCTTCCGGAGGAGGGAAGGGACAAGGTGGGAGCCTGAGCCAGCCAGCCAATACACCTAAGGCAGTGATGGCTAACTTTTTTGTTGTTGTGTGTCCCCACCGTGTGGCCCGTTTTTGGTCACAGGAGGCAGCAGGGAGGCCTGCTAGGCCCAAAAAGGGCCACGGGGAGGGGGGAGTGTCACCCCCCGTGCATGACCCCCCACCCCCCTCGTATGCGTGTGCGACCCCTCCACCCCCCGCACATGTGCACGCATCTCCCGCATGTGCCTGCCCAACACATGCACAGCAAAGACCCGAAAATCAGCTGGTTGGCGGGAGGCGCATGCGGGGTGAAGCCGAGCTGGGCAACGGCTCATGTGCCCGCAGAAAGGACTCTGCATGCCATCACGGACCTAGGAGGAGGTTACGGCAACCCGGTGGGCCGGTTCCAAGGAAAGGGAACCACCGGCAATGGCAGATACATAAAAAAATATATATATCTCCACGCGTGGTTTACCTTTCGTGCAAACTCTGGCAAGACGAAAGCCGCTCGGTGGACGTCCGAGTTGTAATACTTAAGGCTCATGTTTTCCACTTGTTCCTGAGAAAGTAGCTGGATCGGTTCCCTGAAGTTCGTGTTCTGCAGAAGATTTCACACGATGAAATAAATAAATAAATAAATAAAATAAATAAGAACCACACAGCCGGGTTTTATTCATCCGCGGCCCTTGGAATCAATAAGTGAAGCTTTTCCCCCTCCAGAAGTACTCCTAGACTTCTCTGCTAGCATGGAGTTGTGAGCGGGGAAGACCACACTGGACATTGAAAAGGAAGGCCACCCGAGAAGCCAGAATCTCCAACTCAAAAGCAAAAGGAGCCATGTTCTGACTTAGGCTTCCCAAGAGCACGAAGCAGACTCTTTGTCCTGACAAGTTACTGTGAATTCCTCTCATTCACATCCAGCAAAGTCTTTCAAGGGTGAATTTACAGTCACCGAGCTTATCTGGCTTGGAGAGCTGCCAGGCCCATATCTTCCAAACTTGGCAAGGAGTCACGAACCAATTAAGTGAACTAATTTGTCTCCTGCAAACTCCCCTCCCCTTTCGCTCCTCTTTTATTCCCTCTGGGAGGGGCCATTCATTGTCCACCTGTGGCTTTACTCCTGAGTCGACCCTTGTTCTTTAGCTGTTCCCTTTGTCTGGCAACTCTGCGCATGCGCACACTGGGAACAGGCTCCAGCTGTTCATCTGCCTCACTGATGTCCGACTCCGAAGGCAGCTGATAACTGACATACGGCCCTGGACCCCTCTCTGCCTCCGATGCAGAGCCCTCATCAGAGCCTTCCCCAGACTCCAGGACTGGCCCATGTTTCTCCCCAACCTCCTCACTGTCCGAATCTGCTGCCAAATCCACTGGCAACTGGCGGGCCACAAGCCATTTGAGGTCTCCCAAGGACGAACAAGGCCGGCTCGTTCACCTCCTCTTCTGCCTCGCCCCATACACAATTACACTGACTCACTCCGTTAATGCAAATTCAGGGAGAGAGGAAAAAAAAGGCTCTTGGTCCTTACTGGATTTTTGCTGCAAAGCATGAAGCCAATCTGGCCGCTGGGATACGTCGGGATGGTGCAGTAGGCGTACTCGACCACCGGAAAGAGAGATTTACAGAACTGGCGCATCTCCTTAATGAGGTCGAGGTGCAACCATTGGCACTCCCCTGGTGAAGAGAAAGAAAATGGGAGAGGATCAGGGGTGAAATGCTCCCGCTTTGGACCAGGTCGCCCGATCCAGTAGCGATGGAGGTGGGTGGTTCCGAGAACCGGTAGCAAAAATCCCTGCCCCCCCCCCAACGCCCAACTGAGCCGCACAATCATCAGGAGGCTTTTTTTTAAAATTATTTTTAAAAGCATTTTTTTCTACAACCTCCTTGGCTGAAAAAAATGCTTTTAAAAGTAAAAAAAATAAAGCCTCTGATGATCGTGCGGCTCAGCTGGGATCGTCAGAGGCTTTTAAAAGCATTTTTTTCTACAACCTCTGAAGAGGTTGTAAAAGCCTCTGACATCCCAGCTGAGTTGCCTGATGGGCAGAAGCTTTTTTTCTTTTAAAAGGCTCTGACAATCCAAGCTGAGTTGCCTGATGGGCAGAGGCTTTTTTTCTTTTAAAAGGCTCTGACAATCCAAGCTGAGTTGCCTGATGGGCAGAGGCTTTTTTTCTTTTAAAAGGCTCTGACAATCCCAGCTGAGTTGCCTGATGGGCAGAGGCTTTTTTTCTTTTAAATGCCTCTGACAATCCAAGCTGAGTTGCCTGATGGGCAGAGGCTTTTTTCCTTTTAAATGCCTCTGACAATCCAAGCTGAGTTGCCTGATGGGCAGAGGACTTTTTTCTTTTAAAAGGCTCTGACGATCCAAGCTGAGTTGCCTGATCGTCAGAGACATTTAAAAAAAAAAAAAGCCTCTGCTGATCAGGCAACTCAGCTGGGATCGTCAGAGCCTTTTGAAAGCATTTTTTTACAATCTCTTCGCCGAAGAGGTTGTAGGCTTTTAAAAGTTAAAAAAAAAAAAATCACCACGCCCACCCAGTCACATTACCCCCCCAAGCCACGCCCACAGAACTGGTAGTAACAAATTTTAGATTTCACCACTGGAGAGGATGGTTTTTCCCCCCCGTCTGCCTGGCCCTGGTCTTTTCGCGAGGCAGAATCAGAGACATCATTTTCCTGCAAGCCTCATCGTGTTTTTTTCTTGTTTTTATAAAAGCACCGTACCAGTTAATTTATGACTAAATAAAACCCGTTTTTCTGAGTTTGTACATGCCTCCGGCTCTTAAGCCAACCCAGAGATCTGGGTACACACAAAACCGAGACCAGCCATAAACCAACCGGCAAAGCAAGATTAAAAATAAATAAATAACCACACTGAACGTATTTGGCAAAGGCAACTACAGTCGTCCTCGACTTGAGGCCGCAATGGAGCCCAGCATGGATGTTGCTAAGCGAGACAGTTGTTAAATGAACTTCGCCCTGTTTTACGACCTTTCTCGCCACGCTTGTTAAGCGAATCCCTGCAGTTGTTAAAAGCCAGCAACTCAGTTGTTCAGTGAATCTGGCTTCTCCCATTGACGCTGCTTGTCCGGAGGTCGCCAAAGGGGATGGCGTGATCCCCAGGACACTGCAACTGTCGTAAATACGAGTCAAAGTGGCCGAGTGTCTGAATCACCTGACTGTGGGGATGCGGCAACGGTCGTGAGCGAAAAATGGTCATAAGTCATTTTCAGTGGGGAAATCCAATTTTTTTTTTACTACCGGTTCTGTGGGTGTGGCTTGGTGGGCGTGCTAGGGGAAGGATACTGCAAAATCCCCCTTCCCTCCCCACTCCAGGGGAAGGATATTGCAAAATCCCCATTCCCTCTCCCACTCCAGGGGAAGGATACTGCAAAATCCCCATTCCCTCCCCACTCCAGGGGAAGGATACTGCAAAATCCCCATTCCCTCTCCACTCTGAAGCCAGCCAGAGGTGGCATTTGCCAGTTCTCCGAACTACTCAAAATTTCCGCTACCAGTTCGCCAGAACCTGTCAGAACCTGCTGGATTTCATCCATTTTTTTCCCAGTGAGGTGGTAACTTTAAACCTTCGCTAAACGAATTGTTGTAAACCGAGAACTACCTGTGCTCACGTTTGCAACTGAGTTGGGTTAACCATGCTGAGAATGCAGAGCCCGGTGGGTTCAGGCTGCTTGGGAGGGGTGGGGGGTGTTTCTTTAAGGGGGATCTTAAAAGCAAAACGGCAGAAAAAAAACAAGGCCGAAGAGAGGTTTAGCTCAACGAATGGGGAACTGGACAAGACCCGGCACTCGGATCAGGAATCACCTTGGCAACACAGAATTCCGTCTTCCCGCAAGGCGGTTTTCATCAGCTGGTAATAGGATTCCTTAAACAGGCTTTCAGCTGGACCTGGCAAGAAAGGTGTGTGTGTGTGTTAAAAGAGCATTGTAAGGTCAACGCATCAAATTAAAACAGGGGGGGGGGATGTGGGTCCAAGTCTCCCTGGGCTTGAGTGATCAGAGCAGTTCAGCGGTGGGCTTCAAAAATTTTAACAAGGGGTTCTCTGCCTGGTTGCTAGCTGGGCGTGGCCATGGTGGGCGTGGCCAAGTCGGCCTCCTGCACCATGGTATGGGGGGGAAAGGGGCGTTTTTGCCCTCCCCGGGCTCTGGAGGCTTTCCTTGAGCCTCTGGGAGGGTGAAAATGGCCTCCCCAGGCTCCAGAGGCCCTCTGGAGGCCTTCCCAAACTTCCATTAGGCTCGTTTTTTGCCCTCCCTGAGCCTCCGTGCGCGCCTTGCACTTACCTGCATCAAAAACGGGCTGCGTGGGGACTTCTGGGAGGGGAGGGGCAGAGTGGGCGGGGCCAGCCAGGAGTGGGATTTGGCGATTCGCCGAACTGCACAAAATCTTAGCTAGAGGTTCTCCCGAACCCCCAGCATCCCATCCCTGGTAGCTGTCTATGGAGATTCTCGGTCATCCAAGTCATGGTTGTCCCAAAGGTGCTTTTTCCAAGAGGCACCTGGACTTTCCGGGTTTTTTCTTTGAAGACGTTTCGCTTCTCATCCAAGAAGCTTCTTCAGCTCTGTCTGGATGGCGGGGAACGGAAGGATTGATGCTCCTTGCAGACAGCCGGTCATTTGCGTTCTTTTATAGAGAGCCTTTTATAGGGACACGGTGACTCAGTGGCTAAGATGCTGAGCTTGTCGATCGAAAAGTCGGCAGTTCGGCAGTTCGAATCCCTAGTGCCGCATAATGGAGTGAGCTCCTGTGACTTGTCCCAGCTTCTGCCAACCTAGCAGTTCGAAAGCACATAAAAAAATGCAAGTAGAAAAATAGGGACCGTCTTTGGTGGGAAGGTCACAGCGTTCCGTGCGCCTTTGGCGTTGAGTCACGCCGGCCACATGACCACGGGGACATCTTCGGACAGTGCTGGCTCTTCGGCTTTGAAACAGAGATGAACACCGCCCCCTAGAGTCGGGAACGACTAGCAAATACGTGCGAGGGGAACCTTCACCTGTGATAAGCCATTGACGCTACTTGGAGGTTTATCTGTGTTCACCCTGAGGGAAACCCTGCCATTTCCCGCCATCCGGTCAGAGCCGAAGAAGCTTCTTGGAGGAGAAGCGAAACGTCTTCAAAGAAAAAAAAACCAGAGAAAGTCCAGTGAAAGTCTTGGAAAAAAAAAAAGCACACCTTTGGGACGATTGGAGTAGCTGCTTTCTCTCAACCTTGGTAGGACAGTGGTCTAAAGCACCCTGTTATTAAGACCAGCTGCCTGCAATTACTGCAGGTTCGAATCTCGCCAGGCTCAAGGTTGACTCAGCCTTCCATCCTTTCTAAGGTAGGTAAATTGAGGACCCAGTTGTGGGGGCAATAAGCTGACTTTGTATAAATATACAAAAGTATGAAGGCTATTGCTTAGCGCATTGTAAGCCGCCCTGAGTCTCCGGAGAGGGGCGGCATATAAATCAAATTAAAAAAAAAACAAAACCTGGCAGGGTTCATTGGGAGGATAAAACGGGGAGAGGGAGGCCTTAACACCAAAAGCGGGAAAAAGGCAGATTGGGAAGACTGCAGGTGGGGCCCGGCTCCCCAGATTCACCCATGGGGTCAGACGAATCGGTGATGATCACATCAAAAGCCTCTTGGTTCTGCTTCATAAATTCAAAGCCGTCTCCAACGTGGAGCGTCAGCTTCGGGCTGGAGTAGCCCACGGCCATGCCGGGGAGATATTTCTTAGAGGCCTGGATCACGTCCTGGAACAGAGAAAGTCCCTTTTACGTCACATTATCACACCTTTCTGAGAATTTCAAGCCAAAAGTTTTTCCTAGCTCTGCCTGCGGAAGGATCAATCTCAGCCCTTCGAATTGTAGTTGCACTGTTGCTTAGAAATCCTAAATTGCATGAACAGAGGGAGACAATCAAGATCGAGGGAGGTACTCATACCACTCTATAAAGCCTTAGTAAGACCACACCTAGAGTATTGCATCCAGTTTTGGTCACCACACTATAAAAAAAAAAAAGTTTACACTCTAGAACGAGTGCAAAGAAGAGCAAGAAAGATGATTAAGGGATCGGAAGCTAAAATATATGAGGAACGGTTGCAGGAACTGGGCACGGCTGAAGTGAAGAGAAGGACCAGGGGAGACAGGATAGCCAGTCTTCCAATATCTGAGAGGGTCAACCTATTTTCCAAAGCACCCGAAGGATGGAAACTGACCAAGGAGAGATTCAACCTGGAGATAAGGGAGAAATTTTCTGACGGGGAGAACGATCAACCCATGGAACAGAAGTTGCCTTTGGAAGTTGTGGGAGCTTCATCCCTGGAAGCTTTCAAGAAGAGACCGAGACTGCAATCGGACGAAAATGGCGTAGGGTCTGCGGGGTGGACTAGATGACCTACAAGGTCCCTTCCCAACTCTGTGCATCTGTAGCTACCGCTAAGCCACAGGCAGCCCTTCCGTTGCTTAGTCCTAAGGCATTACTTTTCATATGGTCACAACACAGCGCTAGTTAAGAAGCCCCTCTCTGCGTTTTTTTTCCAATTTACCCCAACCCTACCTGCTTTACTTCTTCCTGCACCCCCCAACGCCCCCCCCGCCAACCCCATCCCAGGCTGTGCCCTTGAGTCCAATAAGGACTGCATGATATACAGGCTATTCTTCAGCTGACCATAAATTCAGAAGTAAACCACCCGAGAATGAATCCTAGTAAAGAGCCTTGGTGGCGCAGCAGATTAAGTGACACCAGCTGCCTGCAATTACTGCAAGTTCAAATCTCACCAGGCTCAAGGTTGACTCAGCCTTCCATCCTTCCGAGGTAGGTCAAATGAGGACCCGGATTGTGGGGGCAATAAGCTGACTTTGTATAAAAAAGAAGAACACCACTTAGGAGGGGGCCGAAAGCCCTACGAAGCAGGTATATACAAAAGTAGGAAGGCTATTGCTTAACGCATTGTAAGCCGCCCTGAGTCTCCGGAGAAGGGCGGCATATAAATCGAACCAATAAATAAATAAATATCATATTAACAAACCGCAAGGGTAACTTTTATAGGAAAAGTAATTGGACGGCTTGCTGAGTTTCTCTTTTGTTTTTCTGCCTCCCAACATCCGGGAACTGCGAGGTTGTTCGAGGACTCGGGAGGGAGTAAATCCACTTGCCAGAACATTCCTGCCCTGGAGTTTAATTTTCACCGGGGGCATTTTTGGGGAAGAACATTCTGTTCCAGGCTAAGCACTTCAGCCTCCAGTTGGGACAAGCAGAATTTTCTGCCTCCTGGGCCTCACACCTTTGAATTTCCTCTTCCACCCAACTCTGGAAGATTCTGGCAGTCGGAATTCTCCTCCCCTTGATTGAAATCTAACCAGGACAATGTTCCATTAAGGGAAAAACCAGATGCTGCCCCCCCGCCCCTGTTTGTGGGGACAGAGAAGAACTATTTATTTATTGGTTCAATTTATATGCTGCCCTTCTCCGGAGACTCAGGGCGGCTTACAATGTGTTAACCAATTGCCTTCGTACTTTTGTATATACCTGCTTAGTAGGGCCTAAAAGTCAGTTTATTGTCGCCACAATCCGGGTCCTCATTTTACCTACCTCGGAAGGATGGAAGGCTGAGTCAACCTTGAGCCTGGTGAGATTTGAACTCGCAGTAATTGCAGGCAGCTGGCAGCTAAGTGCTACTTAACAGCACTTTAGTCCGCTGCACCACCAAGGCTCTTAACTAAAGACGACAGTTCTGGTCCCAGATCTGGCTGGCTATTTTTCCCATCCAAACAGGGAAACTTGCGAAAAGGTGGATTTCAGTGAAACAGTGGAATAAACTTCCTAAGGACAATAGACCTTGGCAGTGTCCGGAGATGTATGCAAAACCCGAATCTTGCAGTTACTGCAAACCTAGACACGAGGAAAGGGATTGGATCTGGCACAGCCGTTGCTGAGAACGTTGGGAGTTGAAGTGCAAACATCTGGAAGGCGGTTTTCAATCACACCCACGCAACCCTGCAATTTTGCAACTCCGCTTCGTGTTAGCCTCTTTCCCCCGAAAATAAGACCCAACCGGAAAATAAGCCCTAGCATGATTTTTCAGGATGCTCGTAATATAAGCCCTATCCCCAGAATAAGCCCCAATTAAGATCGTCAACCAGATGGATGCATTTATTACCGTATTTCCTCAAAAATAAGCCCTAATTGGAAAATAAACCCTAGCATGATTTTTTGCAGGATGCTCATAATATAAGCCTTATTACTCCCCAAATAAGCCCCCGTTAAGATTGTCAGCCAGATGGATGCATTTAGTACTGTATTTTCCCCAAAATAAGACCTAACCGGAAAATAAGCCCTACCATGATTTTTCAGGATGCTCATAATATAAGCCCTACCCCCAGAATAAGCCCCAGTTAAGATCGTCAGCCAAATGGATGCATTTAGTACCGTATTTCCCCCCAAATAAGACCTAACCGGAAAATAAGCCCTAATGCGTCTTTTTTGGAGCAAAAATTAATATAAGATCCCGGTCTTATTTTCGGGGAAACATGGTTGTCTCCCATGAGTTTTAGTTCTACGAGTCCATCAAGTTTTTCCAAATCAAGGCATACCTCATCAATTTCACACTGTATTACCGACTCAACGGAAGGATGCTTCACCACTTCTCTTAAGACTCCGCCATCGCCACCACCGATAATCAGAATCTGGACAAAATAGGAGAAGGTACTGCCTTAAGCTACAAGCCAAATTTCCATCAAAGCCTTACGTGGATTTAGAGGCCACCCAAATCCCCCAAGAGAACTTACAGTGTTAAAACTGTATTATTATTTGTATTATTTTTTGCTGTAAGCCGCCCAGAGTCCCTTGGGAGTTGGGCGGCATAGAAATTCGATAAATTAAATTAAATTAAATTAAAAGCAGAAAAAAGGCACAGACTGGAGACAAATGCTTGGATGTAATTCTACAGGGCTTGGCACCCACACTCCTTCCAAGGCCTGGGGGAGCAGCCAGAGTTCCAACAACTTTTTAAACATCACCAAGTGTTCTGCCCCAGCTACGGACCCCAAAGAACGCAGCACACACAAAGTCTGTACAAACCTTAGTTTACTAAATTAAATCAGTTATTTTTCAAATAAAGGCTGTTAATTAACTTTCTTAACAGCCTACAAGAATCCAAAGAAAAAATAATCGTAATCTTACTAGGGTTGGCAGAAAGCCCAGAAGCAATTTGCAGAGAACTAAGATCAAGACGCGAAGGAGAGTGAACGAAGTTGTTCCCTGTAAATTGCTTCAGTTGGCGTTCCTCCTTAAATAGGCTAAGGGAATGGCCAATTAGCCCCAAGCCTTACGCTTGAGGAGACCTCCTCCTGAGGAGCCACTCCTGCCTTTTGGCAGCTCTGCGCGCCCGTGCATTGAGAAGAGGCTCCTCCTCTTCTTCCTCTTCACCCATGGGAGCTCCTCTGGCACCACATCTTCTCCAGCCTCCTCATTGTCCGACTCGAGTGCCAGCTGCACAGGCTGCACCACACCAGCCTCCTCGCTGTCGGAATCAGCTACCAGCTGCACAGGCCGCTGACGGGCCACAACACCAAGATGGGGACCCTATGGATCTCGTGGGCGGAGGGGGGGATGTTAATGCTACAGAGTAGGCATTGCACCAGAGATTTCTCTCCATGAAAACTAGATGTCTACGGAGATTCTCAGTCCTCCAGGTCATGGTTGAGCCAACGTGCTTTTTTTCAAGAGGCAACTGGACTTTCTGGTTTCTCTTTGAAGACATTTACCTAGAAGCAGCTTCTTGGATGAGAAGCGAAACGTCTTCAAAGGAAAAAAAAAAAGCTCCTTTGGGACATGAGGACTAGATGCGTGAACACATAATCAAAACAATGATTATGATTTATCACTTGTTGCTTGCATGTACACCGAGAGCACTGGAGACAAACTCCTTGTGTGTCCAATCCCACTTGGCCAATCAGGAATTCTACAGTCTATAAAAGGGACGCGGAGGCTCAGCGGCTACGACGCTGAGCTTGTCAATCAGAAGGTCGGCAGTTCAGCGGTTCGAATCCCTAGCGCCGCGGAACGGGGTGAGCTCCCGTGACTTGTCCCGGCTTCTGCCAACCTAGCAGTTCGAAAGCACTTAAAAAAAATGCAAGTAGAAAAATAGGGACCACCTTTGGTGGGAAGGTAACAGCATTCCGTGCGCCTTTGGCGTTGAGTCATGCCGGCCACGTGACCACGGAGACGTCTTCGGACAGCGCTGGTTCTCCGGCTTTGAAACTGAGAGAAGCACCGCCCCCTAGAGTCAGGAACGACTAGCACATATGTGCGAGGGGAACCTTTACCTTTTATAGTCTATATATTCCGTTAACAATCATCGGCTGGCATTTGAATGCTTTAAGGGTTTTTCCGGTGTGAGCAACCTATCAGGGCAACCTGATCTACCTAAATATGGGATGGAGCATACAGCTTTTGCCTTTACCTTTAAATTTAACCTTTTAATGCTTTGTTGACCCCCAATCAGGAGCAACTGTGACGAGAGAAGAAGTCTCCACGTGGAAAGGCTGCCTGCTCCAGGACACAGCAACACCAAGAGAAGATGTTGGGCTCCGTGGACACCATCTCCTGGTATGTCTGTCAAGCACGGCCAGACACCCCACTGCGGGGGCCGTCCCCCCAACCCGGGTAGCCAACAGCAAGCAAAGCTCCGGCTCCTGGCGGGGCTGAGAAACGCTCACCTTCCGAGGGTTCGGATGGCTGCACAGAGGGAGGTTGGCGATCATTTCCTGGTAGGAGAACTCATCTCTCTCGGTGCACTGGATGACTCCGTCAAGAACCAGGACGTTCCCGTAGGTTTTGCTGGAAAGGAGAGAGGGTCGAAGGATCCCGCTGAAGTTTTAAGCGGGAGGATTCAAAGGGAGGCGATAAGACTTCTAGATAGCCTGGCTAGGCGGCTCAGTGGCTAAGACGCTGAGCTTTGTCGATCAGAAAGGTCGGCGGTCCGAATCCCTAGTAATAGGTCTCCCGCGTGAGCTGGGGGTTGGACTAGATGACCTCCAGGGTCCCTTCCAACTCTGTTACTGTTTAGACTTTGGGCCACCTTTGCTGTCCCCGAGGATAAAACTCACCCACCGCATCTCTCCATCCATCCATCCATCCATCCAACAAACACGTGGCGATTTCTGCTTTGATCAGCACTCTCTCTCTCTCCTTCCCCTCCGCTCATTCTCCCCCCCCAGAAACCACTTTTCCCTCTCCATTTTTTTCTCGTCCAGCTTCGGCTGACACTTCTCCCCATCCCAGCTGCCTATATTCCTGGGCAAGGAAGCCGGTCGGGGCCCGGTGGAGGTTTTTTGGCAGCCCGAGCCAACTGGATCGGAATGCCACCCAACCAACCGGGATTCCATTGCATGCAAACGCCGGCCGATCTTCGCTTCTTAGGATCAAGCGCACGGCGGCTCCTTTGGGACCCACGGAGATTCCCATCCGCCCTTTTGAGACCCAAGGGACCAAATCCACCCTGAAGATCACTGGGGGGAGGGGGGGGGAGCCGAGGCAACCCCTTTCCTGCCCCGATCAGCCTTGTAGGACTGGTTGCAGCTCCTTCCTCCCTCCCATCTTCCCTCCCTTCCTTCCTATCTTCCTCCCTCCTTTCCTCCCTCCCCATTCCCATCTCTCTTTCCTTCCTTCCCTCCCCTCCTTCCTTCCTCCCTTTCCCTTCCCTCCCTCCCCATTCCCATCTCTCCTTCCTCCCTCCCTCCCTCCCTATCTCCTCTCCCTTTCCTTCCCTCCCTCCCTCCCCTCCTTCCTCCCTCCCTCCTTCCCTCCCCATTCCCATCTCTTTCCTTCCTTCCTCCTCCCTCCTTCCCTCCCTTCCTTCCTTTCCTTCCTTTCCCTTCCCTTCCTTCCTTCCCTTCCTCCCTCCCTTCCTTCCCTCCCCTCCCTTCCCTCCTTCCTCCCTTCCTCCCTCCCTTCCCTCCCATTCCCATCTCTCTTTCCTTCCTTCCCTCCCTCCTTCCTCCCCTCCTCCCTCCCTCCCTATTCCCATCTCTCCTTCCTTCCTCCCTTCCCCTTCCCTCCTTCCTCCCCTCCCTTTCCCTCCTTCCTCCCTCCCTTCCCTCCCCATTCCCATCTCTTCTTCCTTCCTTCCTCCCTCCCTATCTCCTCTCCCTTTCCTTCCCTCCCCTCCTTCCTCCCTCCCCATTCCCATCTCTTTCCTTCCTCGCTCCCTCCTTCCTCCCTCCCTTCCCTCCCCATCTCTCCTTCCTTCCCTTCCTCCCTCCCTTCCTTCCCTCCCCATTCCCATCTCTCCTTCCTTCCTTTTCCTTCCTTCCTTCCCTCCCTCCCTTCCTATCTCATCTCCCTTTCCTTCCTTCCCTCCCTCCCTCCTTCCTTCCTCCCTTCCTTTTCCTTCCTTCCTTCCCTCCCTCCCTTCCTATCTCCTTATCTCCCTTTCCTTCCTTCCCTCCCTCCCTTCCCTCTCTTCCTTCCTCTCCTTCCTTCCTTTTCCTTCCCTCCTGCCTTCCCTCCCTCCCTCCCTCCATATTCCCATCTTCCCTTCCTCCCTCTCTCCCTTCCCTTCCTTTCCTTTCCCTTCCCTCCTTCCTTCCTTCCCTCCCTTCCTATCTCCTTATCTCCCTTCCCTTCCCTCCCTCCCTCCTTCCTCCCCATTCCCATCTCTCCTTCCTTCCTATCTTCCTCCCTCCCTCCTTTCTTCCTTCCTTCCTCCCTCCCTCCCTCCTTCCCTCCCCATTCCCATCTCTCCTTCCTTCCTTCCCTCCCTTCCCATCTCTCCCTCCTTCCCTTCCCTCCCCTCCCCTCCCTCGGTGGGAGCCTGACCTGCGGAAGACCAGGATCTCCTGGAAGGGCGAGCGCTGGTGATGCAGCACCTCCTCCACCTGCAGGGAGAGCGCCTGGCCGGGCCACAGGCTGCAGGTCTCGCGGAACCAGCCCTCGGGGGAGACGGCTCCTCCGGCCCCCGCCGCCTCCATGGCCGCCCGGCCTCCGCTCCCGCCCGGGGCCGCTGCGGAGGCCCACCTGCCCACCTGTCCGCGCCGCAACCCAACCGCGGGCCCCCGGGAGGCGTGGCCGCAGCCCTTCCCAAGGGGCGGGACCAATGGGAAGCCGCGCCTGCACGGGAAGCCGGGCTCTCATTGGACGGGCCCTTCCGGAGGCGGCGAGTGAAGTCAGCGAGGTAGGTTGCGCGTACCAGGCCTGGCCACGTGGGGCGCGCCGGAGCGGCCGGGCCCTGATTGGCTGGGAGTGGAGGGGGGCGGGAAGGCGGACGCGGAAGCGAGGGGCCGTCCCTCCACGTGGCTCGGCTGGGCTGGCAGCTGCGCTGATGGGAAGGGCCCTCGGAGGTCATCCAGCCCAACCCCCTGCTCAGGCAGGAGGCCTCTGCCAGTTACGTTACCTGCATAGGGACGATTCTTTATACTTGTGTACATGAGGTACAATGACAATAAAGGCTATACTATACTAATACTAATACTATACTACACTATACTAATACTTATACTATACTAATACTTACACTATAGTATAATAGTACACTATTATAGTACACTAATACTACACTATAGCATAAGTACTATACTATACTTATACTATACACTATACTAATACTTACACAATACTAATACTATACTATATTTATACTATATTATACCACACTATACTAATACTTATACTAATACACTATGCTAATACTATACTAATACTTATACTATACTTACACTATACTACACTATACTAATACTATACTAATACTTATACTATACTAATACTTATACTATACTAATACTTACACTATAATAGTACACTATAGTATAAGTACTATACTTATACTATACACTATATTAATACTTATACTATACTATACCACACTATACTAATACTAATACTTATACTATACTAATACTATACTATACTAATACTTATACTATACTTATACTACACTATACTAATACTAATACTAAATTAATACTTATACTTATACTATACTAATACTTATACTATACTGTTGTGGATTATTCATACAGTCATATACATTTATCATTTTTAATTGACATTTCCTAATTACAGAGTTTCTTTGCAAAACAGTTATAATTCTTTTTGTAGATTACTGAAGCATAGACTCAAATCATCTTTTGACGATAGACAACTTTTAACTCATGTGGATCCCCTTGACCTAACCAACCCTTAAGCTGTATGTCATTAGAATGTTCCTTTCTTCTGACAACTTAGAGGCCTCCTAGAGGAACCAAAAGGATTTTGGCTGAGTTTGTACTTTTTCCAACCGGATACATTGCTTTTTAGAATAGAGTGAATAGAAAGTTATCCAGTGGTCATTTATCAGAGCCCGCTTCATTACATTAATACTAGTATAGTAATGCTATAGTAATACTAATACTATACTTCACTAATACTATTCTAATACTATACTAGGGACGCAGGGACTCAGTGGCTAAGATGCTGAGCTTGTCAATCAAAAGGTCGGCAGTTCAGTGGTTCGAATCCCTAGTGCCGCGTAACAGGGTGAGCTCCTGTTCCTTGTCTCAGCTTCTGCCAACCTAGCAGTTCGAAAGCACGTTAAAAAAAAATGCAAGTAGGAAAATAGGGACCCCCTTTGGTGGGAAGGTCAAAGCGTTCCGTGCGTCTTTGGCGTTGAGTCATGGCGGCCACATGACCACGGAGACGTCTTTGGACAGCATTGGCTCTTCGGCTTTGAAACGGAGATGAGCACCGCCCCCTAGAGTCGGGAATGACTAGCACATATGTGCGAGGGGAACCTTTACCTTTACCTTAAAAAGTAAAAAGCTGAGGTTTGATGTTATCTTATTCTACTGTACCAAACAGAGTCAGAATTCAAAATCTTTTCTTTCATTTTCCTACGCTTTTCCCTTCCCCTTTTCCTAATCTTTTGTATTGTTGTATTTTATATGATAAACTAATAATATATATATATATAAAGCAAAGTCAATGGGGCAGGCCGCATTCACAACAACAGAGTTCCTAACTTATCGACTGCGGTGATTCCCTTAACGACTTGTGGCAAGAAGGTAGGTCGTAAAACGGAGCAAAACTCACTTAGCGCATTTCTCAACAGCAACTTTGGGCTCAGTGGTGGTTGTAAGTCGAGGACTACCTGTATACGATCCCATTAGCTGTGAGTGCCTTTCTTGCCTTCTGAGAGGTTTGCTTGCTTTCCAGTCTTACAGCCATGGGATCACCTGGTGGTATCCCATTCATAACTAGGCAGGCCTTCACTCATTACCTTTTGGAGGTCAGTGGGGAGTGCCAGTTAGTTTAATACTGACTCTTTTAGGGTCAGGTGTCCGTTGGGGAGCACTTTTTATCAATATTTAAGAGGCAGTTGCGCTCTGCACCTGCTCAGAAACTCTGGAACCATCTTAACGCGTTTATATGTTGAATTTTCCTTTCCCCCCCCTGTTAGGTCAACGGACTTGACTGTTAATTTGAATAAAGCTAATTTAAACTATAATAACCGCGCAGTGCATAAAGAAGCAAGAGAAGCAAAGCAGAAGCCAATGAACCATCGCTTAATTTAAACTTGCCTTCCTTTCCTTTTCAGGGGTGAAAGAAAAGCATTTTAATTGTTTTTTTTTAAAAAAAAACAAAACATCGAAAACAGGTTATCCATACAAAAAGTGGCAGGAGTTGTTTTTTTTTTTTTGTTCTTCGATTCTCGCGTCTTCCAAGAACTTCCTTGGTCTCTGTGTTATCTTTTTGGCCAGTTGTGCCGAAAACCCCTGCGTGAGGAGGATAAAAAGGTTAAGAAATGGTCAAATGGTCGCCGAATAGTGGCATGACATATTATAGACTAGAGCAGTGATGGCTAACCTTTTTTTGGGGGGGTCGCACGCACCCATAATTCTATGCGCCCTGGCCCCCTGCTTTTGGCCCGGTAGGCCTGTTTTTTTGCCCTCCCCAGGCTCCAGAGCCTTTCTAGGAACCTGAGGAGGGCGAAAACAGCCTTCCCCCCCCACACACACACCCCGGAGGCCGGAAACAGCCTGTTTGCCAACTTCAGGTGGGACCGGAAGGCCCGTTTCTTGCTCTCCCCAGACTCCAGAGCCTTTCTAGGATCCTGAGGAGGGCAAAAACGGTCTTCCCCACCCACCTGGAGGCTGGAAACGGGTCGTTTGCCAACTTCCGGTGGGACCGGAAGGCCTGTTTTTTTGTTCTCCCCAGGCTCTAGAGGGCCTCCGGGGTGGGGTGGGGAAGGCCATTTTCGCCCTCCCCAAGCTCCTAGAAAGGCTCTGGAGCCTGGGGAGAGCAAAAAAACGGGCCTTCCTCACCAGCGCCCCCGGATCCTCCAGAGGCAGGAAACGGTCTGCTTCCCTACTTCCGGTGGGGCCCAGAAGGCCCGAAAATCAGCTGGCGGAGCTGAGCTCGTGTGCCCACCAATATGGCTCCGCGTGCCACCATAAATTCGCCATCAGGGGACTAGAAGCCTTGTAAGTCTTATCTGCCAGGTCCAGGTAGTCAAAATTATAATGGCACTGGAAAAAAAAATGTAACGACCATTTTTCACATTTAGACCTGTGGCAGCATCCCCACAGTTGAAGAATGGGGCAAACCTCACTTAACAAATGTCTCGCTTAGCAACAGAACTTTTGGGCTCTATGGTGACCGTAGGTTGAGGACTATCTGTAGTTCCAATATTCCAGCTGTTTTACTTTATATATACGGTATTTTTTGGAGTATAAGACGCACTTTTTCCCGCCCTTAAAAGACGGTGAAAATTTGGGGGCATCTTATACACCGAATGTAGCCCTGCCCACCCACCGGCCCCCATACTTCGGCCTCCACATGCTGTTTTAGACCTGTTCCAGGCGGCGGGGATCGCCACAGCACATCGCCGCCTCCGTGCCTCGCGCTTTTGGCCTCTGCGCGTTGTTTTTGGCCTCTGTGTGTCGCGTTTTCGGCCTCCGAATGCTCCGTTTTAGTCCCGTTCCAGGCTGCGTGGATCGCCACAGCACATCGCCACCGATCGCTGCCTCCGCGCATCGCGTTTTCAGCCTCCGTGCGTTTGGTGGCCAAAAACGCGGGGCACGGAGGCAGTGATGGTCTGTGGCAATCCCTGCAGCCTGGAACAGCTGATTGGGTGTATTCTGGGAGGCTGATCCACCCGCCAATCAGCTGCTCGTGCTGAATCAGGCTGCGATAATGTGTTGAAGCTGACCTGGCTGTTTGCTATTTGCTGCAAGGACACTAGCCATATGTCTTTTTTTTTTTTCTTTCTTTCTTTCTTTCTCTTTCTTTCTTTCTTTCTCTTTTTTTTCTCTCTTTCTTTCTTTCTCTCTCTCTCTCTCTCTCTCTCAAAACATTTTATACCAAATTTATATTGGTATATTTTAATCTCTCCCCTGGCTCAAACTGATAAAAGAGAGGAGAACTTGTGGCTCAGAGGTTAATACAACTGCCTAATATGCAGGCAGCCCAAGTTCGAATCCGAGTAAGGGTATGGCTAACTGATGAGAGCTAAAAAGCTTGAAATAGATCTATACTAGTCTCCCTTTATTTCTTTATCAGCAAAATTTGATATATATATATATATGTATATATATATGTGTGTATGTGTGTGCGTTTATTTGTTATAACTGTACCTACCTGTTGGATTTTCCAGCTGTGAAAGACATGCTTTTTGTTCCTGCTGCCTGCTGTGATTTGCTGGCTCCTGAAAATTTCTGCAGGTTGTTTTTTTTGGGGGGAGGGAGAAAACGGGGAAAAAAAGAATGAATGATCTGATTGAAACTCTTGATAATTCTATTTTCCCTTCCATAACAATATTTATTAGAAACCCATCTCCCGCTTACAATACATTGTGTGGCCAAGCATCGCTCTCACCCCCACTGAGCCACCCATCACAACACCCCTCTAGGTTTCCCCACATCTGAAAGAGCCACAAGAGAACACAATGCAGAACACACAGCCGCCTGATTTTTGTGGTCTACAGAATGGGCTGAGGAGGAGGACACGGAAAAGCCGCCTAGAGTCGTTGGATACCACATGGCTGGCAAATAAAATTCATTCATTCATTCATTCATTCATTCATTCATTGTTTGTGCTAACCTTCTCCTCTGAAGCAGCAAATGAGTCGAGGAAATGAGCCAGTTGGGTCTAGTAGTTAAGGCACTAGTCTAGGAGTCGGCAACCTTAAATACTCAA